GAAAAAAGGCATCTTCTTCTATCGGCTGCATTAAGTTACACGGGGTTATAAAGAACGAGAAATGTGGGTGGTACACCAAAATGGAGGGGAGAAATTGAAGTTCTGTTTAGTAACATTGTAGAAAGCAGAGAATCAGTATATCTCCGGATAAATAGACACCTAAAATACATATTTCAGGATTGCTTCAAGAAGGATTTGTAGCTGAAATCAGAATACTCCTTTACCTAGATTTTACAGTTTCCTCAGATACTATGTTCTCTCAGTTGAGTTAGTATAATCACGAAGTTTACATTGTCCTTCTTGACTAAATCTTCAGCACTATTTTTCAATGAAAGTTTCTCATTCAAAACTATTGAGATTATAGAATACAGCATCACCGAAAATGTCCCCACCTGAGCTACAAGATTTTTCCACAGGTTCGAGATTCCTCAGTCATTTAAAAACTACCTAAGCTGTATTTTCATTCCTAGAACCCAAGCGGAACACAGGACTTCAAACTTCGAGCTTTCAGTAGTGTCGGTGTTGTTCTTTTTTACTTGCCTCACACCCAACCTTCCCTCTTTTCCAGGCTTATCATAAGCTAAGCTAGGTTTAGGAGTTGATCGGACAGGAATCTAACCTAGACCCCTAGAGTGGTTAGCGAGAATTGTAATATTGAACCATTGAAGTCGAGTATTTTGTGGGACACAAAAGAACTTAGATCTCAGTTTATGGGCACTTAACTAACTTCAAGGTGGATTTCATGGTAAACCAACAGCAGTTAGAGAAGCGTAAGGCGATAGACAAATTCGTTGTCCACCTTTATGACTCTCAGAAACTTTCACCAAAGATCATACCAAGAGTTACGCTCAGATCCCTTAGGTTACGAGTTGTAATTGCCATCAGTTTGAAATCCAATAGATTGCAAGTTCCAACTACTGTTAACTAACAATATAGCACCATTATTACTACCTGCTATTCAGTGGCTCTCTAAATAACGCTCATTCGTGAACAAATCTTACCTGGGTAAATATTTGCTTGAAATTAAGAAAAACATATTGATTTTCAGCATTCTAGGTTGAGTTTTTTAAAAAAATGAATAAGTTTTCCTTTTTCACTCTGGAATTAGGCAGAGAGTTTTTTTAAAAAAATAACAGCAATTAGTTGCAAAAATCAATTGTGATTTTCGTCTGACAGAAATTTTATAAAATCAAAACCAAGTGATAACTAATTTTTTTATTATTTTGTTTCTGTCAGATAAAAAGAAAGAACAAACAGCCTGCTGGGAATATCCATAGGCTATCACTGCTTATATTTATCTTTAGTATAAGTACTAAGGGATAAAAAAGCGAAAGAAGGACAAACAACTTCCATTCGTAAAACGAAGAGCTTTTACTGGGTTTTTTTCAATTTTCCTTCCTCCTCAACTGCCTATGTATCTCTATCCATCATTTAAAGTTTTATTACGCTTGACAGCAAAAAGCAAGGTGAGAACACTACACAGAATTTTTAAAAAATATCAATGATTTGACTAAAACTGACGCGATTTGGCACGAAAAATGGTCACATAAACAGTCTCAGACGCAAGCAGACAAAGGCTGAATGGTTGTCAGCGATTCGACACGGCTAATACTGAACATTAGTGGCGGTTCTGGTTCATAAAAACCTGACTGCGGTGTACGTCTTAGTCCTAATGCCTCCCATAACTTAATTTCGATTCAAATCTGGTGTACCAGCTGATGTAGGAATTGAGTGATCTCGTTTTTCAGTTCAGCTTATGATTTCTTCATTATCCTGTTCACTGCCAACCCTCCAGTTATTTAGAAACTGAGTTATCAGATTTGATAAGAACAACGAATAACTTTCGTAAACTAAATGTGCTTCAAAAATGAATCGTACATTTTTTCTGCATTCTAAACTTTGAATACGCATTCTAAGTGGCAAATGCCCTCACAAAGCTAAGAACATTGATCAGAAAACATTTTACATTCGTAAATAGAATTGGAACTGGAGAGATAATGAAGTGATTTTCAAGGTACACCAATGAAGTTACATAAGCAAGCCTGTTGGATTTGTAATCACGGCACGTTATAAAAGAAGTGCTTCTCTAGTTGTGCGTTATTTTGTTTAATCGCCAAGACTGTTTCATCATGACCGAAGAGCTTTCATCAATGTGCATGTACAACTGCAAGAATGCCAGATCATGGTTTGCACGTTACAGTATGAGTCTGTGACTGAATGGCGAAACAAAGCATCATGTTTCTCTTCGAACAGGTGTAACAAACTAAGAAGTAGCAGCTGTTCAGAGATCTTCGAGTTTCAATTGTTTGCTGATTAATTTTAGTTGGTGAATAAGTCTACCCAGTTTATTTACTTTCCAAGAGTCTTGTTCAATTTGAAATCTCATAAATCTTTTGCTTGCTAATTTAAAACTAGCACAGAAATACAAATGAAAAAGATAAAAACCAGTAGTCATGAAAGTCTCATTGCCTTATCCTAGCAAACAGTGGATATCGCTAGGCAGTATGTTATAGTCCATCTGCACAAGAGGATAATTTGGCTGGCTAATTAGCCACAGTAGTATGAACAGAATGAATATTATAGTAATAGTTTCATCACTAGTGACAGTTACAATAAATACATGATGAAACTAACATATATCATTGTAAAACAATTGAAAAAATTATGATTGACATCGTTTAACATGTTATTATGAGCCTATTATTATGATGATTACTACATGTAATTGGAAGCAGCATACTGATTTCGTCCATTATCTGGGTTGCTTTAATCAAACCAAAAATCTACAGTTTTTTGCCCATTTAAAAAGAGTTAATTCATTACTCAAAAATAGCTAAGATGCATTTCTACCTGCAAGTTAGATCAACGTAATCGGCTAGCAACGTCACAAACTGAATGCCCTTGCTATTCACTCCATTTGAAAAGAACGACTTGGTTGTGTATAACAACAAAACAGAATTACTTGGTTAGCAGCGACTAGAGTCAGCATTTAGAAGGTTAGTCTCGTTTCATTTGAAACTCGTCATTTGGATGTGAGACTGCATTCCCAGAATTGGAGCAAGCATCTATCGTTACAGATAAAAAGTCTCAAACAGGTAGGGACAAGAGTCCTAGATTCCACTGTTAGTCATCAAGAGTCAAGTAATATACCGTCATTCTCAAGAGGTTGGTGAAGTGTTCCTACTAGGGGTTGATATGTTAACAAATACTGAGTCTTTCGGTGCAATACAATCACACAGATATGAAATCCAAAGTAACTTTGACTTATGAGACGGTTTTATTTTTTTCAACAAACTCAAACAAAGAAATTTGAAGTATCTGTGAATCATCTAGTTTGAAGCAGATGACACACTGAGAATACTGGTTTTGCAAAGCAATTGTCATCTTGTTGATAACTTCTCACTTTTAATGATTAAGATTTGCGTACATTGGTAAAATATAATTTAATGTTAGATGCGTTTATTGAATACAACACACAGTCATGTAGCATTAATAACAGTGTTAGCTATAATTCGGTCATTAACACTGTATTACAGTCTGTGTTGTATCAAATAAACTTATCTAATATAGAACTACTCAACTTTAAGAAAGACCATTAATGGGTTGATTAAAAATCACTACTTGACACATTATGAAAATTGCATAAGCATATATACCTGTGATAAAATCAACTTGATGTGATTTTTCAAAAATTTTATTCCTTCGCTTCCCCAATGGAATATAGGGGTTCAAGCTAGACCTTTGAAGTTCCAGTAGCACTAGTTTTATTTTTTACGGGGTGCGATTGCTAGCCTCACGCTGAACCTTCCCTCTTTGCTCGACTTGTTACGAACAAAGCGAGGTTTAGGGGTGTGTCGGTCGAAGTTCGAACCCTAAACCACGTGAGTTGTTGGCGAGCATCCTACCTTTGTGCTACCGATACTTGATGGGCGGACGAGCGTATTTGTTAAGGTTTATGAGGCGCATTTCAATGCGCTACCAAGAAAGAATTTTAACTAGGATATACTTGACAAATGTGAATAAGTTTACGTCTAGTTTAGTTGGATTCAAGAAAAACAGATATTAGGAGACTGGAAGTTTAATTTTCTACTCCTCATGATTAGCTTATTAGTAAAAGAAAACACTGAAAGGCTAATGAAGTTTGAAAAATATGTTAAAATTTAGGAACTTTCAATTTGTTTGGCACTAGCTGTATGATCTGTTATTAGGTTTGTAGATACCTGATCTGTTTCTTAACGGAAATCGTCATTAACTGAACTCGAATGAGTATCAAAAAAGACAAGACTGGACAAATGTCTCTTACACTATTAGGAAATATTAAGTGAAATCTTGGGTCGTTTGGTTTCAAATCAAACATATATTCACCCACTCATTAGGATGGAATTCAAAAATCTACCTAGCTCCTGACTCTTAACAGTCTTGTTCACATCACAGTAGGGAGGACAGGGGTTATTTTTGTACAAAGTTCAGGTAATAAAGAAGAAAAAATAACTGTTCGAATGATGCATTACTTTACTGTTTTAAATGCCTTGTTCAAAAGACAAATTAACGCTTTCATTTCAAATTCATACAGGTATACATCACTTATAGTAGTCTTCCCCAAACTGGACATCATCAAAGCGTCAATTTATAGAGTAGTCTCACTCAAGTCTAACTATTCCTTTATTCCTTTGCGTTTCAAGTGAAAAATGAAGTTTCACGCTTGAGCTCTGGAGTTTCAGAATCAATGATTTTAGTTTTACGTGGTTTAATTGCTAGACTCGTGTCCAACATTCCCTCCTCATTGGGCTTACTGTCAGTTTAACCAGATTCCGGAGCACCTCAGAGAGAGAGAATTCCGGACCTTATGCATAGTTGGCGAGGATTTTACCACTCGACCACTGATTCACAAAATTGCTCATCTACTAGACGAAACCCATGAATGAACTGCGGACATTCAGATCAAAATGCATGAATTAAAAGACATAGCATAGAGATGACAAGTCAACCAGATAGCTTACCAGTTTCTTGATGACTGATAGGTAAATCAAATTCTCTTGATTGTTCACAGGCTTTCACGAGTCCAGAAACTTTTGCACTGTAATCAGTAAGGAGATTGTTGAACATTTTCGGTAATCCATACCACATAATCTTTTCGTTTTTCGTATCAGCCACGATATCAGCATATATGTAAGCTAATCAAAAAAAGAAAACAACACCAAAAGTAGACAGTGAGGCGAATGTAACAGATTAATAGATAATTATATTTTATGGTACATCCCCTCACAGATCAGCATCATCACTCAATAGCTGCTTCGTTGTAGCGTGCGACAATTCTGCATTACATATTCCTGTTCCTTCCAAGGATGGAAGGTAGAACCGTCGTCCAGCTGGATGAAGTTACTGTTAATCACTTGTTTCATGAATTCTCTTATTGTTATCATAATATTGTTTCCATGGGTTCCAAGTGAAACATAGGGTTCCGACAACACACCTCTACTTTCTCCTATTTTCTTCTGTCCCCTTTAGCTAGACCGACGATTTCCCATAATCTCTCATCTTCTCCTTCACGGTCTCATCCATGTCATCCTCGCACCGACGACCCACTTGTCACTCGAGCTATGGCCTGTACTGCGCGCAATGTCAGTTGACAGTCTCCTCAGTGCTCAACCAATCCATCTCCATTTTCTCTTACATATTTGTTGAGCAATCTGATCTTGGTTGGTTTGTTGTCAGAGTTTCTTTCTGGTCTAGCATTTGATCTGCATTATGGAGTCAGCGAAGTAAGTTGTTGATTAAAGACTGAAGCCTGTTAGAAATGCTTTTCATGCTACTTAATGCAAGTTTTGATCCATATAGAAGAACTTACTGAATTCACATTTGGGTTGAAAATCCGAATTTCCAAATCCCCATTTACGCATTTAGAAAAAAACAACAGATTGAGCGAAGAAATATGCATTTCTTTTCAATTAGTTTCTCATCATCGGCTGGCTTCACACTAATATACAGTTTTTTACACCAAACATTTTACCAATCAGATGGTTATTTTAGTTAATCAGTTTTAGGTATAGGGGGGTAAAGGTTAAAGGTGATCAAAACAAATAACTAATAGATGTTGGTAACAAGATATTTGAGTTTTAAAAGGGGGGTGAAAATTATTTTAAATAATTAGGCAGAGATTTGTTGCCAACGTCTGAGAATCAATTTATCTTGAACTCCCTAATTAATTTTCACGCCTCTTTTAAAACTTAGATATCTTGTTACTAACATCTATTAGTTATTTGTTTTGATAACCTTTGAACTCTTAATTTCACCCACCCACCACCATATCTAAAACTGATTAACTAAAATAACCACCTGATTATTGAAAATTTTGATGTAAAAAACTACATATTAGTGTGGAGTCAGACGATAATGAGGAACTAATTGAAAAGAAAACCCGAATCTTGTTCTTTATGCTGAGTTAGTGCAGAAGATTTTCAAACCGACTTCAGATTGATATGTAAGTATCTTGCCTTTCCGATTCTGGCTGGCTCACAAATCATCCATTCTGCATGTGGTTGAAACCATGCTTCGTAGATGAGTGAAGGAAGCAACATCTGTCAAATCTCTCACGTTGATTACGATTGGTGATGATTTTTATTATTATTTTTTTATTACAGCTTGATGCCACACCGTATTTTCAGTACAAGTATGGGATTTTCAGCATGGATATCGGTAGCCCAAATTCAGGCCGACCATAGATATCAGGTGTGCGTCGGCAGGGGATCGAACCTCGGACCATGTGCATGGTCGGCGAGAGTCCTAACCACTGTGCCACCGACGCACAAAGCCACATCCACGGCGGGACACGAACCCGCAATCTACTTCCTTTATTGTTGCTGCTGTTAGTTGTACGGTTATCTTCATCACCTTCGTCTCCACCTTCTCTATGTTCACCTGGCATCTTGTCTTCACTGCTATCCCCCTTCTGTCAGTTTGTTAGTTTTCACCTGCAGGACTTCGAGTGTGTGTGACAGTAAACATATATCATCTACGACATCCATTTATTCTACAATTCTTCTTATTGTCTTCTCAATCCCGACGCACGCTGTGAGGAATAATCTAGTCCACCACCATTAAGAATATCATCGGTAATAGACAGACTGCCTTGTCTTACTCCTGTATTCACTTCGAACGCCTCACTGAGTTCTCCGTTGTGTATCACCTTGCACGTGGCATTGTCATATAGCCATCTATTGAATGAGGTTGATAAAGATTCGGGCACTGCACGCCGTTGTGTCAAAACAGTTTCCAAATTACGTCTCGGTCAACGCTGTCTGTAGAAGGCCCTTTCGAAGTCGACGAAGTTGAGTTCGAGAGAGGTTTGACTGCCATTTTATGTTTTGTTCTGTGATGACGATGCGTAGAGTTTCAATTCGATCAGCACATGATTCTTATTTCTTAAATCTAGCTTGTTTCGTGCTGGCAGAGTTCTGCATCCAGTGCATCTTTTATTCTATACAGAACGACGCCACTTAGTATTTTACTTGGCGTTGACAAGAGCATAATTCCACGCCAGTTCTTATTCAGGCCTTACTAGATCTCCCTTCTTTGGTGGCTCGACAAGTTAGTCAGCCTTTCTTGCAATCGGTACTCTCCTTTCCTTACTTCCAAACCTTTTACAACAATGGCATTCGCATATCTGCCACAGTCTGTATGTCCGTTTTCAGTGCTTTGGAGTGGAGGAGAATTCCCTCTGGCCATGCTGCCTTCCTTGCTGGCGTTTATTAGCTTGATTGCACTCAAGATTTTTGCTTTCATTGGAGAATTGGTATCCACTGGCAGGCAGTTGCGTGCGTCATGTTGGTGGAATTTCTGGCCGAGTTGCAGGTGATGATCGATTCAAGAGTCTTTTAAAGTGATCAGCTCATTGTTTTATTCGTGTCTCCTCCTTCCTGAATTCTACTTTCTGTGGATACACGATATACTGCAGTCTCAATTTAATGTTATTGGTGAAAGACATTTACTTGTGTATTTTTGTACAGTGTGAACTTTTTTCACTTCCCAAACTTAAACATTATTTCAGTAAAGTTATAGATGTCATCTTCACCGCTGCTCGAAAATAAACACTTGAAATTCAGATGTATTTAGGAGATACCATCAGTCCTAACGGACTGGTTGATGACAACATCAGAGCATCTATTGAAATCCTGTTTCAATAATGGAAAATATGAATCTTTGATAACTCTGTGACATTCTTCTATCCAACGAGTGATTGTGTAGTACGCAGCGCTGCGTTCTGTATAACTGCATGACTGTTAGACCTGACAAGTATAATGTATGAAAAATTACGGATTCAGTCGCTCGCATAAAGCGTAGCAATGTAGTGAGTAATATACATATGAGACACAGATTGCACAGTAACAAAGACAAGTTCGTTGATGAGCCTGTGAATGCTAATGAATAAGGATTACTGAAACATGCATTAAATACAGCAAGACATCGCCACTGAACAATGCTACCTGAAGTTGGATTGGACGAAAAAACAGGTGCGTTAAATTAAAAAGCTATGCGAACTGATAAAGTGTCTGATGGTTGAACTTGACGGTGTACGACGGTTGGATGGTGATCTCTGAAAATCAAAAGCATTGCGTGGTGTTTCTTGGTGATACTGTCTTAAAGTCATTTACAAAGACGAATTCACTCCTTAATGATTTTTAGATTCTAAACTTCATCTCCCCATGACACTCAAATTTATTGATCGTAGAACCAGTATGTTTCTGTTTTCCTATCTTGTGTGTCTAATCGATGTGTGAAGAATTCCTGTGTTGATCCGTCAGTCAGAATTATGCGTTCTATTATGACGTCTCAAAATGAGGTCAAAACTATCTTCCGTTGTTTCTTTCACACAATATTTCAGTTAATCCCCATGTACCGATCTAAGTCGATACATAAAAGAGTTCGGATTGCACTCTCCATTACGATGATTTACGTTTTTTCAATATTTATAGCTGATTAAAAAATTGTCATAGAATTAGGCTTGATTACATTTTTGTTACTTTTTGTTATTGTAATAAAAAATTTTTAGGAAAATTTCCATTTAATCTCTATTGTTTGACAAGTGGTGTACTCCACTCGAAAGTAGTGATCCTATCCAAGTACTGAAACGCTTAATAATCAAGCAGAAAATTATTAATAATCTCACCAAAAATACTTTTTCTTAATGCACAAATCCACATAAACACAAATAGACACACGCACATTAGAACATCACAGGATAAATATTTAGAAATAGATGAAACAAACAACAAACAAATGACAATAATAATAACAAAAAGAATATCTCTCAAAAACAAAACAAAATTTTCGCAGATTTCAGATATTCACAGGAAGAAACCATTGATTATTGGCTTTTACCTGGATATTTTTTACTTTCTAATAGTAATTGGTCGAAAATTTGGTGGAAAAAAGAGAAATCAGTAGTCAACCTATTGTTCACTAATCCTGAACAATGGGATTTCATCTCACTGTAGCCTTGATTAAATGATGTACGTAATAAAGGCTACTATAAGCTAAAGGTAGGGCGTAAGTTACACCTCGACTGGCTACTTCAGACCGGGTTGTCATAAGCGTTGGCGTTCTGTAAAACGCAGTTTTACGTGTCTTATTGACTTCGAACAACTAAGGACTATAACTGCATAGAACGTGTGGGTTAAAAAGCTCTTCAGTTGCGCATATATGAGGTTACATGGCAGTTTTATCAGTCCTATGTAATCTGACAGTAATAACTTCAACATTACAACTTTTATCTCCCCTCCCCTAATTCTTAAAATTACAGTCATACATGTGGTGAACAGGATACAGTAACCCTTCAGAAATGTTGTTTACCGCTAATGAATCAGTTTTTTGATGGTGTTAAAGAAATGCTTGAAGTGCGAAAGCTTCTACAGTGTTTTTTCTTTTTTCAGAACTGATTACTTGCATGAAGCGACTGAAGATTAAGCGAGTCCATGGTTGTTATGAAGGGAATGAGTGTCCAAATGATGCACACTATTTCAGTACTGCTATTGAGACTAGATATAACCATTAACAGCCAAGAAGGATTTACTGAAAAATGAATGTATGCTCAAGAGTAATCTTATACATCAGGCTCTAGCAGCTCAGTTTGTGGGCAGACTTTATAAATGCTAATAGTTTAGAAGATAAATAATGAAAGTACCTCAAACAAAGCTATATAGGTAATTTCTAGAGATAAATAGAAAATTTGTTTGCCAGAGCATTTAAACAAACATACCTGGATTTGCAAACTTGACAGATTCTTTTACGCTGCCTTCTGCAAGAGTCGGATCGACTGAACCAACTAGTAAGTTTATCTCCAAGCTCACATCTTTTTGGTTAGCCGGTAGTTTCACTCGAAATGTTGTTTGTTTGCCGGATACTTTGGATTTCATTGTCTCAATTTTCGGCTCCATAAACTCCAGTAATATATAAGTTGGTCTACAGGCAACATTATCTGCAATCACCTGATGGTCAAGAAAGAGAAAGTGAAAGACCAAAAGCATGAAATTATTAAAGTTTATTAATAAAAATGATGAGTTTGAACATGACAAATATTTAATGAAGCACTTATTTAATGTATTCTTGTCTAGCTCATGTCGTTTCTCTTACAAGTAATTTTTTTACAAAAAAAACACAATACAATTCATGAAAACTCGTTCTACGGGACACCTGTTTCGCCTAGGTATTTATGGAGATGCCTTGCTAGGGAATTATGTGACTTCCACTCATATTATAGCGGATAAAAAAGTTAACTGTAACAAAATTAAATTAATAATTTGATAGATCCGCTATCTAGAAATAGTTTTCGTAGGCATAGATGAATGATTTTGGCAGAAAAGATAAGTGATGGTTAAATTTACAACAACTGATTCCAAACTATTATGGGTAAATTTTGTTTCTATAAACTCTCACAGTGTTATACGGTAACGTTTACTGATGACATTTCGAGCACAATTTATTGCTCATAATCATATCAAGGTAATCACACAACTTCCTAAATTCATTTATATAGTTCCATTGTTTTTCACTTGATTTTCACTTGATTTGATTGGTAGTAATATTTTCCATATTTCGGGTATGAGTGATGATTCATTCCTATTACATGTGTTGGGTGTAGATTCAATGAACAAGGATTCAGTAATCAACCTCTCTCCACCTACCTAGATTACTTCTTAGAATTTTAACCCTCTCCCACCCTATTGTGTGGTTGTGTGCTAATGCATGCATTGCAATTGCCGAGCTTTTTTCTAAATTACTTATCTTCTCTGGGTCAACCATTCTTACCTTAGCTAAATTCTTATATTCTGATTGTCTGACTACCCCTGACCTACTAGTTTGACCTATCTAGTTGACCTCACGGTCATTGCAGGGTATTTTGTAAATTATATTATTTTGTCTAATTGGGTCAACTGGGTCCTTTAATCTACAGAGCTTGTCCCTGAGTGAGTTTGTAGGTTTAAATGCCACCCTAATTCCTGCTTTATTTAGAATCCTACGTAGGGTCTCAGATATCCCCTCTTTATATGGTATAACTGTCGATGACTTATATTCTCTCTTATTTATGTTATTATTACCAGTTTCACAATTCCTTTTATTTTTCTTTTGGCGTTTTTCAATCTTCCTAATGAATTTTAGAGGATAGTTATTTAAAACCAACGCCTCTTCTGTCTGTTTTATTTCATCATTTAGGTCTTTTTTTGTGCTACTTAGTGCCATCGCTCGGTTTGCTAAACACTTAACTAAGCCTGCCTTAACAGTTAAAGGATGAGATGAATTAAAGTCTAAATATCTATTAGAATGCGTTGGTTTTCTATAAACACTCGTGTGTAGTTTGCCTTCTTCTATTCGTTTTATTTTACAATCTAACATAGCTAATTCTCCTTGCTCATTTTCGGCTTCAAATGTGAATTTTATTCCCTCCACTAGTGAGTTTATGTGTGTGTGATTCCAAACTACTTGTGTGATACAGTATTTGTTAAGCAGCAACAAAAAACACTTCTTCATAATTACTGTAAATTTATGAGTGGTTTAGTGTGGGTGATATGTTGATCGAAAAACTGATGAAGTCGCGTTCAAGCGAAGGCAGGAGAAATCCTAAATTGCATTATGTACACACTGACTGCAGATGTCAAACAAGATGACAACAATTTGTAAGGGCATTTCACTAATTTTGACCAAATTTAACGATGATAAGTTTGTTGTTATCGACAGTTATCAGCTACGATTGTGTCCCAAAAGGTAAGAATTCTAAACACATACGCATGCACATTATCAAGCGTTATATTAAGATATAATATCACTACAAGAATCAGGTCAAGACTATCTGCCTCCAGAGCTAGATGCTGCATACTTACACCTTAGCCACACCATACTATTCGCATTCTATAGGGTATGTGTAGTGCACATATGATTTTGACTGGTCAGTGGAAGAAATGACTTCAAATATTTAATAGGAAATCAGATGCATTTAGATTTAAAGTCACAATTCCTCAGTTTGTATATAACAGGGTAAGTGTGTGTATCAGTACGGACTCACTTTCGAACCAATATGAACAGTTGCATCCATCTCAGTTTCTTGTGTTTCTTGATCATGTTGAATAGCGTCAACTGTCATGCTCAACTGAGCATCTAGATTTTTACAACGGAGGAAAAAGAGATTACATATGAAGAATTAAGAAGTACTGAAAGCATTAAAGGTACTTTAAGCCTAAAAGGCATTATGTTAGATATGCTAATGTAAGATGGCACATACTGTTATATTCTGTAAGAAATAAGTAAGAAATTTCTTTCAATGAATATATTTGAAGAGAAGAAATGCATATTTGTAGTAAACTTGTCTAATGTAGAAGTACATTCTACCACAGTGCCGAAGATATAAACTTACATTAAGAAATGAATAACCTTGAGTATTAAACAAACCTGCTCAACCACTGAAAGCACCTGACATGGGATTGATGAGAATAAAATGACTAGAGAACACAGTTGTTAAGGAGAATTTGATAACATGCATTACATCATGTATATGTGTATTATTAGGTAATATAATTTTTCACTGACTGTGAAGATTACAGCCGTGAATTTTCAAGCCAAGGAAGTTACAAGTGACTATCACAAAACCCTAATCATTACTTTGGCGTACTAATGCCAAAGAAAAGAAAACACTGTGTCAAACTTGTTATCAAGGTGTTCAAATAATCACTAAATACTAGGTGACTTTATGTACCTGGAGAACGTCAATAATAAGTCACTGGGCATCTTCTCAAATAACACTACAACTATCCAAAACTTACAATCTGATGTTTTCATTACTCGTCAAAAGGATTCACGAAGGAATACACTGTATTTTAGGTGTCACTAGTGTTTCCACTAAATTATATAATTGTTTTAGGATCTCACAGGGTAGGCTTAGTAAATCATTTAACTGTACACTCTGCTTAAACCGTGTTTCTGGATCACGTGTATACTATTCAAGTTACTGTTTCAGTCTGACAGTTTCCATTAGATCAGTTCGACTTCTTAGTACACCAAAGACAGAAGTCAAAAACGTTATTATGAAAAAATGACACATGGAATTTGAAGTGAATACATACACTACTTACTTATTTCAACTGAGATTTGTACAGATGAAATTTTTAAATTTGTCTACTTTTCACTCGGCACCCATTTACTGTGAAACTATTCGGTCAAATCTTAATCAAAGCTCGTTTAAAATACAAATGCATTTCATTATGCCTAAGTCATAGCAATTTATTCAATCACCTTAAATAATCCGTGGCTCAAGAGAACTATTCAAATGTCCCTTAAGCGCCAGATTCGACAGTACCATCTGTTGGCTATCAAGTGACAGCTACTGAATTAGTAAATCGAATAGCATGCAAAACATTAGCATAGTCGGATTTTTTTTCAAATATAACTCACTCGAACAAACTGATACCTTTTGAATTTAATCTAAATGATCATTTTACTAGCTAGACAAATTGAAGTTCACTAGCTGTTCCGTATATTACAGTTTACCGTGATCGGTTTTGAATGTATCGCTCACTTTTTCATTTTAGCATCAGAGAAATTATGATCTGTGTTGCTAACAAAGCTGCCCACGATCGGCAATAAGGAAGTTCACCATTTAGGTACTAACAGTTCAAATGCATTTTGGGCAAATCATGTAGGGAGACACTTAAGACTAACTAATTAGTTTGCCTATCCAAATAATGGTTTTCAAAGTGCTTAGGCTAGGCAATTCAACGCGTCAGTGAACTGGAATTGAAACGAAATTCCTGAAGTGGACATTATTATGCAAACATTTTAGCAAATCTGAAGTTTTCTAAAACTAGGATAAAAACATATTAGAAACCTTTACTTAATTTGTTTTCACCACTGTACGCATACATGCTTGTTTATTCAATGGTTTACAAAAATTACTGTTAATATTTATACTATATATACTATACTATGTCAACCTAGTTAAAAGGATATGTTCTTAAAACGGGATATAAATTACAGTAATAAATGAAACTATTTAAACGTAAATCTAAAAAAATTCTTGATAGAGTAATTCATCATATATATTGGACACTCAGAGTGGACTACAAATTCAGATTACTTTGTTTTGATGGAATTCATTATTACATGACGTGACATGTTATAAATATTCAAAATATAAAATAAAGTTAAACGTATTCAGTGAATGTTTGTCAGCTATTAGAAAAACGTTACTATCCTCACTTTCTCCCATTGTCTCCCTTTCAAGTACTATCTGAGGGATGACCAGTATCATTTGTCAATGTAGAGTCGATGAAAGCGAAGCATTCATTCATAAGTATCAGTCTTCGCTTAACCATCTATATACATAATGCAAATGACCACCTTCGAAGTTAGCAATTGTTACTTTGATCAGCACGATGTGATTTAGTGATGAGTTTCTTTTCAAATGATGATATACACCGATTTATTCAGGCACCAAGAAGGAAGGAAATCAATTCAAGGGAGAACTTACGTACAGTCGAATTTATATGTAAAAAGGAGATAGTTAGTTACATGAATATTGCCCAGTCAATATGCATATGATGAACAATAATTAACATGATTGTTGGGGGATTGGTGATTTAAGTGGATAGAATGCAGGAAGTGATATTAAAGGGAGAGGTTGATTTTGAAAGCCACTAGTTGGATCGTTTGCGGTTTAAACATGATAAAGTGAAGCGAGAACAAAAAAGAATATTATTGCAGACAACCAGCAGAAACCTTACTTAGTGCTGTTCCCCGTACAGATTTTATGTTGTATTTCATGCATAACGTTTACTTTAGCGGTGCATAACTGATGAGAATGTGAAAAGTTGAAGTGGCTGAATTTAGTTTCGTGCAGTTTAATGATCTGATTCAATAAAATTTACGGTAATGTACGAATTCGCTATCCTAATTCCATCTGTTATGAACTGAACCGGCTACTGTTTGACAACAGCAATCAGCCTCTATAGGAGCATTTTAACTGGTATACTCGTGTAGGGCCCGACACATGCGATGAGCTGTTTTCCACATATTGTGAAATAATATCTGTTCGTGGTACTCTGACTTTTTTAATATGTCCACCAAGGACATAATCGGAGAAATTAAAACTTTTGGATAACACTTAGACAAGGGGTTTCCCCGAAAGTGTCAATAAATGGCTAAAACTAAACCACTCACTTCCAAGGTGCAGTGCCAAAGAAGACACTAGTTATGAAAACAGCACCATAGCTGAACCTATGAAGAGTCTTCTCAGTAAAGCAGCTTCAATTTCTCCCTTGTTAACTTACGTCAATCATACTAAACTATGATGAAAAATACAGAATGGGAGATTCCGAAAAGTCACTTTGCATTTTAAGACTTATCACTTTTGGAAGAAGTAAAATGACTCAGTGATAATTTTTAGTGTTGTTAAGCAGATCATGTGGCAGGAATTCGGACACAATTAAAATTTAATCATTATTTGATAGATCACATGGTGAAACACTATTATTTATTGGATGACGTTCCCAAAACGATTTATTGTTCAAAATCATAACAGTTTTAACTACACGACTTAGAAACTTAGTTTCTATAGTTCTCATCTTTCCTTGCCATTTTGTTGTATTCACTCAGCTACTGGGTTTTATTTATTATTATTATGCATCCCTTGCGTTAGATTAGAATACACGGTTTCAGGCGAACACTAGGTTCTCTGTCACCACTTCAAATGGATCCACGGCTGCTCAAAAGCTTTCATTCCATCTTCACATGATCTCCCCCATGTCATTCTAGGACGTACAACCCGTCACTTACCACTTTGTGTTCCACTTGAGGGCCTGGCTGCTTACTAAACACTAAATGCACTAGGTTCTAGTGTACATCATTGCCACATATCTAAAATGTCTTTGCTGCTTAAAATAGAGACATCTTTCGATGAAGATTGTATGATGACTAGGTGTGAACTGGTAATCCACTAAGGATTGTGAATCAGACACCTCGTTAGTTTAATAACTCAGTCATCCTATGGAAAGAGAGCGTATCAAAGTTGACTAAGAGTTATCTAGTGGTCGTTTTATAATATTATCTCCCAAATCGATGGAAGAAATTTTTCATTCGCGTGAAGTTGGGTAAGTTTTCCACGAAATACCAAAGCAAAGAAGTTCTAAGCTTCAATCTGATAAGGCGAATAAAAGTAACAAAATGATGAGAAAACCTTTAAATGTAACATGACGGAAATGAAATAGATTTATTTCCACTTTAATAACTTTTCTTCAAACTGATCATAAAACAAAGTATCTTGAAATCTCTACTTGGCATGTTTAGCGAAAAACGTAGGCGGTGAATAGATGTAACCATTCAGTCTATGTGTACGTACAAACATATTTGTTTGCACGTTTAATGCAGGTAAATAATAAATGTGGATTAAATTGTTTATGTTATCAATTTATACTCATCACTTATTATGGATTTGTAATAACTGAATCACCTACCTTTGAGATCATCTTTAACTGTCTCACCGAGAGCACTTGAGGTAACCAGTTCAACACTGGATTCATCACCTTCACCTTTCGTCATCAATTTGTATACATCCGAAGTAGACGGGTCTTTCAATGTAAACTGGATTACTTGTCCGTGAGTTGTGCGTATACACTTCACAATTTCCTCATTTTCTGTGTTACACTGTCCGCCTAGAATATAAAAAGTTGAAACAGAAAAGGACAATTGTTACGATCTGTGTTCCAGCAGAAAAGTGCAGCAGAGACATTTCACATCGAAACGGAGTATTGATTCACGCAACCTTATTGAGGGGGAAGGATCTCGACGGAGTAATAACAAACCGGATACCAACTCTTCACATTTCTACGAGACAAACAAACACACTGTGTTAACAATGCATTTACCATAATTTATAGCGAAATATTTTAAAAATTAGCTGGTAAGGCAAATTATTCTCTCACAAAGATGAACCAGTAGTGTTTTGAAAAATGAGAAAAAGAATAACCCAATTTAGTTGCATGTCTGATCAGTCTATCTGACTGCATAGATAGTAGGAAGAAGTCAAATTAGTCTTTTCATCGGTTTTTGCTTTTCTGAAAATATTCTGCTAGTTGATGATAGTTTGAACAAAAAATTTATAAATAAATCAGATTCGAATCACAGATGCACTCGCAATATAAATCAGATGTCTCTAAAATAAGCTAGTAATGTTCATCTACACGCATACCGGAAGATGTAACTTCTTCAGGCAAGCTTTATCGACTGCAGATATATGCTAGGATAAAACCTTTTATGCTGTATACACAGTGAATATGATAACTTATAGTCAAATGATTGTATGCTTGATTGACAGCTACCAGCGTGACATTCCAAATGCTGCTTGCACAATATACGCTGGTGAATAAAGTCAAACGATGACAATGGCCGAGTAGGATGAATATGAAAATTAGTTTGACTAGATGAAGAAATTAAGAAATTAAAAAAATCCATGTTAGACATGTTCACAAAGCAAATAGAGTCGTAAGGAAGAGAAGAGAGCTTTATGCATATGATTGGTTATTTGTGTCCCAGAATGTGGACACTAAACTAATAATAATAATAATGTGAATGAGATAAATAAAAATCAGTCCTATAAATTAGACGCTATATTTGTTGACTATTTGGTGAAGAAAAGAGAAAAACTGCATAATGATAACGCTAATAATAGTAAGAATAATAATGATTATAATACCACAAAAATCATGATATAGTCAACAAATCAATCGATAGATATTGAAACGTATCGCAGAGGTGTGACACACTCATTTTCCTAATAATAACCTCAATAGTTAGGAGTGGAACTCAATAAAACAAAAGAGAGTTGCCATTTTGAATCTGCATGACGGTGATAGCTGAATAATTGAATGAGTATACCGCGCAGTTTGCAACATAATACAGAAAAATAGAACCAAACTAAGGTAGGCAGTTAACCAGGCTGTAATAGACAAGTAGGTATAAACAGTGTACAGTACAGAATGAAAACTAGTGTATTTTGTTAAGGTCGCGACGTCTTTTAATCTTTGTGAAGGCAAAAGAAAGCGCAAGAAGTAGAAACGAAAAATAAGTAATAAGTTGTGGCGAAAAATCACAGACCAAAGAAGTAAACAAAATAAAGAGAATACAGACAAATGATATCATGATTTCTTTTTCTCCTTCCTGGCGTCTAACTGGAACATAGGTCTTCAAGCTGTGAACTTCCATTAACAATAGTGTTGCTTGTTACAAGGCATAGTTGATATTTACACACCCAACCTTCCTTCTTTACTGGTCTTACTACAGACTGGCAAATTAGGCAAGGTTTAGGCGTTGGTCGGTCGAGAGTAGAGCCTGGACTTCACCATGCGCCCGGTGAGCATTTTACCACTGAACCACCAACGCTCACATTTAAACGCAGGACGAAGTGAAGAAACTACTATGGATCACTAACCACCATTTTGGTTTATCTTACAAGCTGACAAAATATTACATGCTAGTCTATCCAACCCCAAAAGGGGTTTAAAAATTCCTTTTTACTCCATTTAGTGTGTTAAGTGAAATAGAGGCATTCACTTTAAAATTTTGATACCAAAATTTTCCAGAGCTTTTATAACTGGACTAAATACGCATCTTAGATTTCGCCGCTAGTCATCACCAACCAAAGTGACTGCATTTTTTCTATTGGAACTGTATTCCGACTCAAAATCATACTCAATATTTCCGAAGAATTCGATGTAGCGAAAAGTATCCAGTGTTAGTATTTAACTTTTGAATGCTGAAGAAATTCTCTTCCCTCAACGACAACTGAATAAAGCTCATAAGAAAGGAGAACCGATGCTTAACTATTCGTGAATATTGTAAATACGCTTTAGTTTCTAATGAAGATGGTGCTGAAGGTTTCAATAAGCGTGTCAATCTAATGTGCATGTTCCAATATAGAACCTCAGAGAACACAAAACAACTTCCAGTTTTGCTGCTTTGCAGTAGCCGATAAATGTTTAGGGAAAATTATCCGTATATTATCCTTACACTAGTAAATTTCTCTTTTTCTATCTTTATATTTCAGTAGAAGAAGATGTTACTACTGCTTAATATCCTTAATTATTTCGTTGTTCAGCCGCTTTATACAGCCATTTTGATCAATTCTTTATTTGGTATTTTTATCTTGGCATCAGTTTTTGTGTTTCCATTTATCTACCGTGAACAGCTGTTTACCTCCAGATCCATTCCTTCTTTTTCCAAGGTGTTATCCTACACAAATTAAAGTCATATACCAGAGTCATTCTGAGTTTTTGGTATGAGTGTTTCAAATTACTGTATGTGATATAATGGTACGATGTTGAGATGAATAACAAGAGACGATAGTCAGTCGGTGAAAATCTTGTGCCTTATAATAAAGTAAACCAAAATGTGAAAAGTATTAATTGATACTGGTAAGTGATTTTAATCATATATGAGCTACGGAAACTGTCAGTTAGCTTCTCGAAGCAAAAGTCGAGCCTTTTTGAACAATACAAGAAACTTCCAAACAGAAGAAAAACCTACACTACTTTTCAGTTGCTGTATAATAATCGCACAGCTTTAATAAAAGCAAAAAGCAGATAACAGTGGTAAGTATCTTCCACTATGTTCCACCTATTTTCCACTCGGAACCCAAGAGAATAATATCAATAATGGTAAGTATTCGTATGCAGTGTGTACTACTGAGTTTGTAAGTAGTTTAATGTGGGGGGGCCTTCTACAAGCAACTTCACTATGGAGAAAAGAATAAGTTCGCAGATTGGTAGAACGAAGAATAGTGTAAACAAATATAGGGGGTTGGACAGCCATTTAATCCTAGTTTGGGACTCATCAGCAGTTCGCACCCACTGGGTTTCGGACCAAGGACCCTCTGGCTACAAGGCAAGCCCGTATTTCAGGAAAGATAAAACTTTATTTTGATAAAGTCACACAGTGTTATACAGTAATATTAAAAAATGACGTTTCGAGCACAAAGTATTGTTAATAATCATAAAGTTGTGTGAGTACCTTGATATGATTATGAGCAATAATTTGTGCTTGAGATGTCATCAGTAAAAATTACTGTATAACAAGGTGTGATTTCGCAATTAAAAGTGTTCTCTGAGCTGGTTGGTTTAGTCGCGAAGCTTTCGTCGTCCTTCCGGACAACATCTTCAGCGCCATATTTAGCACAAAGTGAAAACAATTCATTCTGTGATTTTACGAAAATAAAATTTTATCCACAACGCAGTTATACTCTACAACAGTGGAAGCTCGGGTATCTATCAGCCACTGGGACCTCTAAATACAGCAGACATAAAATGAAATAAAGTAGAATGAGAACAAGAATAATTTGTGCGATTTGCAGTTTAAAAGTAAAGTTGTTTCATTTAGTCATGACCATGTGTAATTAGTGTCTGATCATTTCGAATGATAAAACTTCATGACTCTTACGTAGCACATGCTATTAATTTATTACATCGCCAAAATAATATACAACTTCCGCTCCTAACTCTAAAATATTTTTGTAAATATTCCATACATACCAACAAGCTTACAGACCCCCATTATTGTTTGCTTTCAACTCTACATCTACTTACTTACGTAAAGCTAATAGTTGGCATCTTCTAACCAAACAGATTAAAGTATGTCAGTATTCTCTATATTGACGTTGAAACTGTTTCACATTGTATGCACTTGACAAGAATCGAAGAATTAAAATGATACTGTCCTGATCAATTCGTTGTTCTTGTTTTGCTTAAGTTGATCAAGGAGAAAATTGTAAAATATTTGCAATTTCGCTTAACAAAATAACTCATTATTCTAATGTTAAATCAAGACAAATTTAATAAATGTTTAGTGGCACACAATATTGTCAAGTATATTGTGTGTCAAGTATGTATTCATTTGATCTGAATCAGATATTCAAACATTGGTGAAATTACGACTCGTTGAGTAAGTCCTTCACCATTTAGCCAGCACGTCTCATCTGCCCGAATTCAGGCAACCAAGTTGCATGACCAACGCCAAACATAACTGAGCCTCCTTGACAGGCGTACTGACAAGCATACAGTTGTTCTGGAGAGTTCTGTCGAACAAGATCAAATGTTTCTATAATTTAGATTATGTATTTTTGCATGGTTCATGACAGCGAACACAATTCATAGCTTTCCGCAACTGCTTAATTGTTGCTTTAAGAACCAATTTTAAAGTTTAGCAACTGAGAAGACGAAATTGGACACCTGGAAAATATTCAAATTATCAAGGATTTAGTGTCATTCTTTCTGTCTTACAGAAAACAACTCATTCTGTCTGGTAGTGATTAGCAATTCTTTTCAGTACATGTTAAGGGTTCATAATGATTATTATTTTCAAATTACTAAAAAACAGTCTTAACATTAGTATCATACGTATACTTAATGAATGTATCAGCCATCATTCAAAATACTACTAACCTTCAAGATGTACCGATGCAACAACCGTGCTTTCTTCTTCACTAGAACAACCCGTACGTTGAAGTGTTAACGTCTTAGGTTGACTGCCTTCAGCGTTTTCAGCCAGTTGATGATACACCCTAATATCCAGTAGTTGTGAATCTCTTTGCCAGACCCATGCACGGATTTTATTCGCTCCACTAGGGGATATAACTAGAAAAAGAAGAAGTATCTTAATGAACCGAAACATGTTTAAAATGAGAATACAATAAGCTAGAAACCCTCTTCACTGTATCTATTATCCCTAAACAATCGGAAAATGAAAGTGGACGAAACAAATAGTGTGAAATATTTTGAAGTAAGTCCTTGATTTTCTACAATGTAATGGCCGATAAAAATGTTTCTGGTTTAATATCGTGATTAACTTCAATATCACCTATGTAATAAACAAAATTAACACACATATTATCCATGTCACGCAATCGAAAGTGATCAGTGAACAGAGGAATGCAATTTTTTTGTTAAAATTGCTTGTTTCTCTTACTGGAAATTTGCATACGAACAACACTAGCGACTACCTCAATTATCGCAAGACCCTAGAACAGTTTGTGTTGAGAAATTAAATACATCGAACCTTAAAATGCAGTCTATAGGTGAGACGGCACTAGTAACGCAGACACATTGGAATGGAATATGCTATAGACAAACATGCCTCTCCAAACTTGCAACAAAACAAAATATTTGTAAAGTACCCTCTTAATCATAAGATGAGTTTCTATTAACTCTGTGTGCTTTCTTAATATTGGATAAAAAGACGACACTCACATATCAGCTGATTTTTAAAGACGATTGACGACTCTGTGTTATTGGAAATTTTATGAAAGTATTTATTCCGATACATTTCTTCATTTTTGGAAGTTTCGTTACCATACCCTATACACATCATGATATGCGATTATCATCACTCAAATATCTGTCTAAGGTCACAATATAACTTATGTGTCTGACTGAGTAAAGTATGTATTTCAGCGTAGAAAACTAAATTGGATTACAACTCACAGCCATTTATATATATATATATATATATAAGGTATATTCGAAACTTACCTAAAGTTCGAAAGACATCTTTAATAACAGATTGAGATTCGATGTTTGGATTTTTCGATACACTCCATGTGATAGTAACTAAATTATCGTCGACAGCATCTGGCCATGCCTCTTTTAATTCATATTTGTAGGCTGGGATAGACCACACTTCTGAGTCATCTTTAACATCTGGAAATGCTTGTACAGCTGTCTCAAGTTTAAGCTATGAGTAAATAAACGAAAAATATGCTTAAATGAACTGACCATAATCTTGTCAATATAATTCTCCGGATGCAAAGTAACTGACGAGCAACAAAAAACAATGTTGACGCGTAACACGACCACTAGAAAGACAAAATTTAACCAAATCTAACAGCTTATGAGTTGAATTAAGAAAACCCAACATTAATGCAGAACAGAATTAGCTGACAAAGTCTGTGTATTTAAAAATACAGTATTACCTAGAATTCACAGTTCACCAAGACCTTAGTTGTTTCGTCTGAGTAATCTGGGGTAATCTAGACAGAGCAGACAAATCAGCCTTAGAACACTTACTAATGTTGGTTCATGGAATCGAGAAATGGATAAGTTTGAATCTGGCTGTCTCCTACGAGTAATCATATATGAACTAAATAGTGGGAATGCAAAACATTTCGGTTGTTATATGGCTGAAGAAATCAAATCTGCAGAAAATTTTCAACCACGATTTACTTTACATTTTCAAGTATTGGTTTTGTATGGATTCTTTTTGATTGGTTGGAGGATGTCATCAGTACATTTGTTTATTAGAACAGTATTATTTGAGCTTACATTTTATTGTTAGTAAGAAAATGTTTTGTTTGTAGGTAGGACGGAACTCTGACTGCTTAGGTTTTGCCACGACAATCAGCCGACATTCTTTAAGCGATAGATGATATCAGTCTGAGGTAAGATAGTAATAACTATATAGACTGGATAAGAGAAGTTTAATTCTGAGAAGTGCGAAACAAAATGATCTAAAAGAAAACTGACAATGGAGAGCTCTTCAGATGGTGTTAGTATATGGTATAAAGAATCTAAAGAATTAATTAAACTATCATACACTGTGCGACTGGATTCATACATTTACTCACAAGTAATCGTAACTGCTAAAGTAATTCTACTGTGCATAACTACTTTTAAACCCTTAAAATGACACACCTGTGTTCAACGACTTCATTAATAATGCTATACTAAAGTTCACAACACGAAAATATTAATCTCACCGGATCTGTTCTATTTTCCGCTTGTCCATTTTCCATAAATGTCACTTCCAGGTGGATGTTTTTCAACAAACTATGACCGACAATTTCAAACTTGAAATACCCTTCTTGTTCATTTTCTGGCAATTCAATAAATCCACCATTAGGTTTAATATTTTCCTCCACAAATACAGCTGTATAACTTTTTTGAAACACAAAATCTGATAATGAAGGAAAGAAGGTGAAATACGAAATGGATTAAATGTTTTAAGTCATCAACAGATGACAGAATCATAGTGTGGTAAAATGGAAAATAACTTCTTGATATTTATGCTTAATGAATGCGCTTCAGCATTTTTCAAAGCTGTAAGGAGAGAGAGAGGAAGAGAAACGCTGTAATTCCGAAAATGGCGGATAAATTATGGCTTTGGTGTTCACCTGTTCCACACGGCCATCTGAGGTTGGGAGGTATCGAAAATGCTCAAATGTTGATGAATGATCAGTAATCAAGAAGTGATTTCAGGTGATTAGATAAACTTGCTGCTACTTCGGTAAACAGAATCAAAAGAATGAATAACACTTGATCCCCACCTTATTTCTCATGTTCACGCTTACTAGTATGTAACTTGGTGATTAGGGATGACTCCTCTTTCCTGGTTATTACTGAAGAATGGTTACTAATTCACTTTTCTTCTCTTTTTTATTCAGACATCTTTGCGTACTAAGTGGTTGTAACGACATTTGTTTAAAGCATAAAAGTCAATCTGAACGAAGAATATTCTTTTCAATAATTTCTCTTCAGGTTCTTACAGTTATAAAATATAATATTTGTTGTTGTTACAATAATGGCCAGTTATGCGGCGGATACATTTTTTACTCTGCACGCCTGTGTCTATCCTTCAGTAGCTGTCCAATGTTCACTTAGCAACTCAAAGATGTCTTACCTAAGTTAGCTCTTCTTCATGCGTATACCGTTTCAACTGTTCCTGTGGTTCAAGTTATATAGGGCGCACGATTAGGCAGGTTCGTCTACGGGTTCGAGAACATTTACCAGCTTGGTTCAGCAGGGGGAAATTAAGTGCATAAAAAGCTCTCTCTTTTCACGCTTGCTCAATACTGGACATAGCATTGACGTCAACACAGCTTTCAAGGTTATAAACCGAATTCCAAAGTCATTATCACGTCTCCTACACATAGCTGAAGCTGTTGCAATAAGATCGACTAAACCCGAACTTTGTATCCAAAAAGAACACGTCCAGACACTGTTCCTACCGTGGTCAAACTTGGATTGATGATTCTTCTTCTCACCAAGAGTGCTTCTTCCCCTTAACCCAACTGGGTTTTTTTCTTTGCTTATTATTTTTATTAGTATTATTATTATTCATAATTTATACCTTTCATGCAAACATTCTCTCAATACTATCGAATTCCCCATTTATACTACCAGGACTTATTATTAGTGATATTTTCTCTTTTCTCAATATATGCCTCCACGTGTTTCATTTCACACATTCGTTATTTCATTATGAACCTCTCATTGCAGTCTTACTATCTCCTGTTTAACACAGACCACTCAGTACTAGCCACTCACCTGACACCTTTTATAACCTTGAACTGACTTATCAATTTTCCTACCCCACACTCTACAAATCTATTATGATTAATCACCACCATTGTCTCCCATTTTACAATATTTTGTAATCGATTTCAGCCCAGCACGTTTGTCACACAAAAATGACTATTTATTTTGACACCCCATAACTAATCTGTTATTCTACGTTAAAAATGTATCCGCCACATAACTGGCCTTTATTGTAATGACAACAATTATATTTTATAATTGTAAGAACCTGAAGAGAAATTATTGAAAAGAATATTCTTCGTTCAGATGGACTTTTAATTCATAATTTGGGAATATTCCACACTATTAAATCTTATAAAATACTGATCTGCTTTTCAAAAATCCAACCGCTACTTTTAAGAAGTCAGTATGGCTGAATAAAGGACTGAATAAGTCAGTTTTTTGCATAAAGACACGTGCTACCAGTGATAAGCGAATAATGAAAACGCGATAGGACGCATGTTGTTTCCATAAGAAATCAGTCTGACTGACTGAGTTTTCAACAAAGAACTTTGCACAAAAGTACGAAAGTTCGAGTTTCTACACTCAAAACAGCCCACAGAGGTAGACAGAAAAGTGCAAAGGAATTATAAAAGAAATAAACGAACAGGAGAAAGAATAATTACACTGAGTATAATGGGAATTTCACGGATCTATAAGTTCATAAAGAGTGAATTCATCTCCATCGTTGAGAAGGATAATGAACTATTAAGGCCTCATTTATAAATGATCACATTAATAGACTATGAGGAGATCGAGAAATGATTTATAACATGCCCACTGGAAGAATTGATACATTCTTGTCGTATTTGTAGCTACTCACTTTATGGCTATTGACAGAAATAACTCTGATTTAGGCTCGTTTTCACCTTGGTAATGAATATTATCAATTCAAAATGAACTTTCAGCATTTAGCTTTTGAAATAAGCTCTGCATATACCAGCTACTTGCAGGAATGCAAAGGCATTATAGTTATTATTTGAGTTTTTACGAGTTAATCACGGATTGATATCAATTAGAGAACCACTGAAAACCAGGGGGTACTGGACAGCTGTTCCATCCTAGTTTCGGAATCATAGGCAGTACGCACCCAGTACGTATCCCAAACTAGGATGAAACAGTTGTCCCAGGTTTTCAATGGTTCTGTAACTGATATCAATCCGTGATCAACTCGTAGAAACATAACTAATCCTTAAAAACCAACCATAGAAAATTAATTGGGTAATATTTTTATTAGAAATAATTATGATACTGATGTTATTCGCATTGCTTTTTGGACAATCCCTAATTATTCTTATAAATTCGCATTATTTAGGTAAGTAGTAATTTCATCTAAAGTTGTCATTTTACAACAGGTGTTCTAAACACACAATTAGATGAGGATATGAAAGACAGAAAGGCAAACAATTGAGAAGACAAAGATACAGGACATAAATATCTGATGATATGCCTTAATGCGTTTTCAAGTGTAGCAGTAAACAATGCTCCACAATATTTTATCTTCGTTTTGTAAGTTTTATATAGTTGATTAAAACTAGCCTGAAGATTATGCATACCAAAATTACAGATATTTCTCAAATGTTGGAATTGTGGGGATTTGTTTGATCCCAAGGAATGTTTCGTTAAGAACCAACATCAGTTAGGAATGAGTACTAATGAAATAAGGACTAGTTTTTTTCCATATCGCATACTCCCGCTTGGTTTACTCAATAATAAACGAGTGCTAACAAAACTATTTTCTCAGGAAGAATGTAAGTGATATCTTACACATAATAGATGTTACTGGCATTAGCTTTCGCAGTTCTGATGAGATTTAAACGGCGGAGTGCAGTTAGTATCAGTGCAGAAGACTTATATCATACACGTTTTTAGAAGAGCAAAAGACAGGAGTACTTGGTTCTGTTGATGAGACGAAGACTTTTGAACCAAGCCCATAGGACAGTCAAATACACCTAGAATTTGGCAGCAACTATTGTAGAAGTTACAATTCAGATACCACCATAACTTCAAACTTTAAAAATGGCTGTTTAAAACCTCACCTTCATTAATCGACATTCGTCTGTGACATGTTTACAAGTGAACGTACATTTTTCAAAAGTATGACTTACCTTGATCAAAGTCTGACTCCTTAAGGCTTGTAGAAGGCGAGAAAAGTTGTGATTTCTTGCTATCAGTTGTCTGACAACTGCACTGATATTGTCCATAATACTGATGAGCTAGAAAATTAATCAAGAAACAAATATTTAGACGTCGACAAATCGTGTGGGTGGGAATTAAACAGTTAACTGTACAAACCTGTTTCTACTGAAAGCTTAATTCTTATTGACTCGGAAATCTAACCGAGTAATAATTTGCAGTTGATAGGCTGCTTGTTATTTCAATGAAAAGCAACAGATTGTCGGGTATGCGGCCGTCGAAATATTGAAATTCATCAGAATAATTCAGAAACTTTGAAAAAGCGAAATACACGCCTGGAGGTATTTGTGGTTGGAGCATAAAAAAGATGAAATAGTCTAACGATATAATACTTTGTACAGTGAAACCCGTAAAAGGGGACCATTATGCATTCGCCATTAGTTCAGTGTTTGGTCAATAGTTATGATTGATTTTAAATACTTTAGGTTAGCGGGTTTTTTAGCCGTACAATATTCTCTAGTCTTCTTCAACAATTGCTCTGGTATTCTCAGAATCAGTCAATAGGAATGTCAACTGCTTTCCTACTAGGTTTTTCTGCTCACAACTAACCCATTGCATGAATCAAACGAATGAATGCGGACACATAGAGTCATTTGAATCGACTGGTGAATTACACTACAGGCCACAAAGGAACATGTAAAATCAAAATGAATAATATAATAGTTACCATTTTCTATTAAGACAAAGAGATACCTAGCAATGCGTACTAACAGAATTCACATTCATCCGGAAATTTAACTAAAATAACAGACATCAACATGAAGCGAAGGAAAAACTATTCAAAATACGGACATAGATTAAGCTGATAAAAGTGACAAGCCTAAAGTATGTTTAAAACAGATCCTTGAATCGGTAAATGTGTATGTTTGGCTGAAACGTAATTGAAAACCTAATAAACGGTTTCTGTATAAAGCACTATGTTGGTCTGAAAGGCGACACGGTGACTTCAGTAATACAGATAAATTATGAATGATTTACGTGATTTACTACAATCTACACGGTAAATTTCATTTTGTTTTCTAGTCGCCCGTCATGTTTGCCTAAAAAATATTCAATTATGTTGGATATTCACGGTGGATAATAATAAAAGCGTAAGACCGTGATTGTTAGTGAAATTCTACACAAGATCTTTGATCGCTTCCACTTATAGTTCCCAAAAGGAATCTACTTGTCGCTTAGAAAATTTAGACTAAATGGTGATGAAAAGCACCTCAGTGTATGTTGGCGTACAGTGCCAAAAAACGTCGGAAAAAAATCCTTTTAGTGAATAATAAATTCAGAAAGATGAATGCATGCATACTTGCACATAATGAAGAAATCTCCTCTTCAAGATCAGATCAGTAAGTAGTCTTGTCTACAGATCGCAGATAGACAAAGTACGATGACATTCATTACAACATTTTTTGGAGGTAACATTTAGAGTGAAATAACAACTAATTGTAAACACCAGTACTGAAATAAAACGAATGAGCATTGACTGATATTAGAAATCGTAAGAAAAAGACGTAAACAGTGAAGAAAATTTTCTTTTCAACAAAATGAAGCCTCATACTGTATACGCTACTGTGCAACACTTTTCTTTAGAGGGTGAAGTACAAACCAGTGATCTCTTTTCTCAAGTTTCAAATCTGGTCATTGAGCATTAAAACAGATTATATATATATATGCTATTATCAATATCATTATAAAAATGCTAAAATGAAATTGAACAGATATACGCATACATATATATTCCCAGGTATATATTGCCATTTAATGGAATCATGTGCAACACTGAAGCATACTTATATGTTTTATAAATGAGCCTTACGAGTACAATGAAAATCAATCAGTATATTTGACGCGATGTGAAGTGATCTCTTGACATGATTTCTGAAGTTTATTGAGTGAAACGAAATACCACCTCATATAATACAAATGCACAGTGTGAATGTTTGTTCACTACTATTAGAGTATATCCCTAAATAAAAATTTTCATTGTTATTGTTAAATGCATTGATTGCATCGGAAACTGGACGCCGTTTACTATAGAAAAAACTTACTATATATATATATATATATATATATATGCGCATAGATATGTACCCACAAAGCTGTAACAAGCTGTGAGAATTAGGACACTTAGATGCAGTGAATGTTGTACATTACTGAACGTTTTTACAGAAACTGAAATCACTCCACAGAAGCAATGACTGTGTAACTGAGAACAGAATCTGCTTTGTTCCTTACACGTCAGAGTTAGAGAAAATCAAGTATAGGCACTCCTAATGAGAACATGAAGTTCTAATTAATTAATTTTTAAATCTCAGTTGAACATTGACAAAATTCCACCAGAAAATTAAAACAAGTTTATGAAGGTCAGTCTGTGGTATTTAAGCCAGCAAATATTATTACAGGTAATAAATACATCAGTAATAAATACCACGAAACTGTGATCCAACTCTTAAACGTTAAAGGGTGGGTTGCTAAGAAAATGGCAACTTAAACACACAGCTTATGAACACTTTAGATGAAGACGACTAGTAATGAAAATCATCTTGTGTCTTTGGTGATTCTGCCATGGATTTATAATTCCTTTCTTTAATCTACAGATGAAACTATCCTCGATTTAAGCCAACAGTGTTTGTCAGTAAATACATTTCTTGTTGTGAAATGAATTATTGAAAACCTACAAAAAACTAGTGAATAGTCCAAAAGAAATATATTAATTCTGTCATGTAACCAAATAAACATGCCCGTGTTCATGGTGTTGTAGAAACATATGCATAAGATCAGGGTCAAGATGTAATACAAGGTTAGAAACCTAATCAATCTTAATGAAGTGAATAGTTTCAAGGCAGCCTAAATCATACAATCTTGTGCTTGACAATACTGGAAAAGCACTATCGTCCGCTTACTTTTTCCGCTTCCTTTCACTCTTTTCCTCCCTGTCTTCGCCTCTTCTATCCATAAACGCAAATAACTTAAAAAGGTTGTGATTCACTCGAACTCGAAATAACTCAATGATGCTCAATATTTATTCATACGATATACAAGCAATTGCACTGTCCTAATTGTTGATGTCATTTTATAAATAAAAACATTCGTAAAAATATTAGAGGTATAATCTTTCGTAAATATCAAAAGATTGAGAAATTTGCCTTGATTAAATCGAGTTAACGAAATCTGAAGAGCTAACTAAAGGCTTACTTATTATCTACATAAAAGAAGTGTAATCTTAAAAGGTTGTGTCAGTATCGTTTGACTGGTGTTTAACGCCACTTTACTAGCCTATGCTGCATTGGTAGTTTTTCCAAGAAACACCTCATTGAATATAATGTTCCATTTGACAGAATAAAATATGACTTAAGTTGGAAAACGCGATCGAAGAACAATAGTAATCATGTTCACTTCCAGAGATGATCTGGAGAACAGAAGCGTTCCGAAAACATTCACGTGATAGGAGTACATTAATAAAAACGTTTACCTATCCATTTCATATGCATTCGATTTCAACTTTATAGCTTCAACAATATTATAAAACACCCCAAGCTTCAGGTAATGTGTGAATGTTTCAACATTCACGTCAGTAAGAGAAGCAAAAAAGTATTTATAATGAGTCTGTCAGTCGTGAATGTCAAGTATTTAACTGAAAATGTGTTACACTTTAATGAACTAAAAAAATTAAAAATAATTCTTCCCATCTATGCAAGTTCGTATTTGATCACAGGCATTTGCGCACATCTAATGTGTTTAACTGTTTCTAGGCGCTTATATGAATGACACAAAAAGGCAGAGAAGTGGAAAGTAAAGAACAAAGAATAGAATTGAAGGCAACAAAATTCTTTCTAAAAAAGAATGACTATTTACATTTTCATTGTCCTTGTTTTTTTTATCTTGTTCATCTTCTGTTACATATTTCACCCGACTTTAAAATGATTCACATTGTCCAAAAGTAAGAATATCTTTAGGTAATAAAACTTTTATTATTACATGCGTATCAAAGAATTGAATTCCAAATTGATACGATAAGAGTACCGAGTAGATTTCAATTAGATGCATTATATTGGCCAGCAGAAATAAAAACAATCATTCAACTGGCATTATACAACTGTTCATCAGTGTTAGAACTGAATACTGTGAAACGGTTAATACTCTAGACTTTGAATCCAGTTATCTGACCTCGAGTCTGTACGAGATTTTAACCTTGTTTAGTTTATTAGCCTAGAAAAGAGCGGATGTTGAGCGTGGGGCTGGCAACCACATCTCGTACAAAAAACACCCCCACCATTATGAGAGCTTTATGGCTATGTAAGGAAACTAAAACTATTGTTGGCTATAATAAGGAAGAATCCTCAATTCGAAAACGTGTAATGCTAGCTGGTGAATGTCAACAGGAAGTCTGACGGTGGATAAGTCTTCTTTTAACGACAGCACGGGAACATGGAATTCCAACACCATTGTTGAGGACGACATGGCTGCTCAAATTTTAGAATCAATGAAGAAATGTTTTCTAGAAGTGTTATAAGATAGCAATAATACTAACGTTAATAATCATTAAAGATGATAATAATGCACGAGTATCTTAAGTGTGAACTACTTTTAACTCAGTATGTGATGGGAATGAGATTTGTAGAGATGTAGGTTCATTCCAACAGTGAGTAAAAGGTTAATTATTTGATTCCTAGTATACAATAAATTCAAAATAAGAAAATAAACTGGCCAATATATACTGGTGATAGACTTCAAATAAACGAATTAGTCATGAATTATCACGTAATTTACTCTTGCCTGTGCCCGAAGACAATTTCTAACTAGATTCATCATAGTTTAGAAGGGAAATATAGACATCTGAGTGATATTACATTGAAGAAATTAAATTTACAAAATAAAATGATAATAACCTGATAATAAGTAATCCAGGGAGACCCTGCTTCCAAATTGTCAACGTCGTAATGTTTATAATATCCTGTGCTAAGTTAACAGATAAAACCTTACTACTCACAGGTGATGGCTATCACACGAAAGAGTGCAGAAGATC